CATACAGACATAATCCTGTATTGCACACCCTTCCCAGGGTTAAATTCTGTGCTACCTCAGAGGCCTCCTCCAGCCCACACAGCTTAGTTGTAGTTCCTTTGAGCCAGAATAATGCAGCAATAGTACAGTTCCTAATTAAACACCCACTTAGGAAGATAGAGCTGTGCCATGGATTACATTTCCAGTGGCCTATATACTCCCATGTGATCGGCATGCAGAGCTGTCAGAAGGCTGGAACTCTGTGTGGCATTTCTAATCACACAAAGATTTCTTCAAAGCTACCAGAGCTTGACTGCTGATGCACTTGCCTTGAGGGAGAGTTGTAAGCTCATTTGCAGGGGAGAAAGACAGACAGACAGACAGAAAGGAAGAGGACAATTGGCTTAAAGTCGATTTTTAATGAGGCAGGATTTCTCTAGTCTGTACTTTGATACGCAGCTTTGCTCCTGACCAGCATCCACTTCACATGACAGAGGCGACATTTCTCTGGCACTAATTCTTCATCATAATTGCGTTTGGCAGAGCTGGCTCTGAACAGTGCCGCCCTGTGGCAGGGATAAACAGGATAGGGATAGGGATTCAGAGGGATAAACAGGAATTCTGGGCCTCTGGCTTCCATACATCCCCTTCCTTCCCTTTGCTCTGCTCTGCAGGGAAGTTTGACCAGGCAAAACGGGATAATCACAGCTCTGACTGGGATGGCCTGGACAGACAGGCTGGCCAGCATGGCAGCATCTCTGGAGTGATTTCTACTGTTTCTGCAATTTCTCCACATGCACTGCTGCAATGGTTTCATGCAGTGTTTGTGTGCACAGGCAGTGTTTTCTGGGCCAATCCAACATGCAGCACAGGCTCTCAGCCCTGTGAAATGTGACCAGGGGTTTGACCATGTCAGGCTCTTTGGACACTGCTGCATGGAACATCCTGCACAGGGATAACAGCAGCCTGCACTGTGGTGTCAAAGGATCTCACAGCTCCAGTGCCTCTAAGGGAGACTTACAAATCCCTCAGCAAACGTTTATTGTCAAACTACACAACCCCTCCATCATCTCAGCCTTGTCATTGTTAGATAATGTACCATTTTCTTTTTTCCAAATGTAATATATTTGATATTACTGCTATACATCTCCCTGCAAATTTTACTGTAGCTGTTCCTTCTTCTTTAATAATTCCCCTACGCTACTGGCTCTATTTCCTCCTGCTAATATTTCAGTCTTGTTTCCACTTCTGATCTTCTCCTTCTCCTTTTGATACCCCTTTATTTATGTGACCTCAGATTACTGATACCTGCACAAGGGACTGCTCAAAGCCTAAGAGACACCCAGGGTGAAAAGAGCCCACATTCCTTTAGAAGTAACAACCTCTATCCCAGAGTGACTGAACCAGGAGAACAGAGCTCATGATAGAGACACAGAAAGCCAACAGAGGAGTTTTATGAACTTACACTGTTTAAAGTAGCTCACCACAAAATAAATATCTATTTCTCTGCAGATTTAGCTGTGGAAGCAGAGGATCTCCTTGGAGACAGACAATCAATGCCTGCTCCAGAGCTGGCTCTCTGGAAAGATGACAGAAGCAGCTCAGTTGAAGAAATAGAAGCTCCAGTAATGGAAATAACTCACCACAAAGGAGATTTGTGAATAGAATCCTAAAAGATATCTAATCTGGCCTTTTTCCAGGAGCTGTGCAGACAACAAACCAGGGCTTGAGACCAAGGTCAGTGTACTAATTGAGAAAATGTTAGTTTTTTGGCTAGAAAAATTTACAGAAGCAGCTCAACAACACAAATATAACACCAATCTTGTGGAGATGAAATAACATTTTATTTAGAGTTTCTTGAAGTTCTTATCTTCTTTCTCATTAAAGGTGTTTAATATGATTCTAGCACTGTAATGAATTTCACTTCTAGCAATAAGAACTTATATCTTCTAGAAGTAAGATTTATAATTAATAACATTCCTATAAAATGGAAAGAATCAACACTGAATTCCAGATAATCAGTATCCCAAAGGGAGACTGAACCCTCTGTTCTGTATGGTAGCATTGACAGTTCCAGCTGTGACAGGCATCAGCCTAAAAGAAAATCCCCCAGGGCTGTGGGAATCCAAATCAATTCAGGAGTCAGGCTAGAGGAAAAAGGAAAGCACCAATGTTCAAACATCTTTTAGAATCAATGGTATTGGAAGGGTATGAACACAAGGAGGAAGTATCTGAAGCAAGAGGGAAAATTAATGAGAACAAAGTAATGCGAAGAAAATAGAAAAAGAGGACAAGGTTAAGGGCAGATGGAAGCCCTTTTTCTGAGGTGTAAAATAATTTTGGCAAGTAGAATGTGTGCTGAAAGGCACAGTGCTCTTTTGGATTTAGCAACTAATGCACTTATTTCTAGAAAAATACGAACTATTAATCCTTAGACCCTGCATTTAAGAATTGAGCAGCTGCACATACAGTGTGAGTTATATCTCACAGCCAATTAAACAAGTAGCATAAAAGAGCTGTATTTTAAATTGTGTTTGATTGTGTTACAAAAGTGACATGTCCATTTGTTTTCACTGAAAATGTGGCTAGGAATTGGAAGGAATCCCCTAGGGCAGTGGTGGAGTTACCATCCCTTGAAGTGCTCAAGAAACAACTGAAGGGGCACATCAGCCCAGCACAGAGCAGAGGCATCCAGCCTTGCCCAGTCATGGATTTCCTGCCTGTGGGAAGATCCAACCTGCGGTGAATCCCCAGCAGTTTGTGGCTCTGTGATGTCCTGATCCCTTTGTCCCTTTGTCTTCTCCAGGTTTTGTTCCAGCCTGTGCTCTGGCTCACTGCAAATCCACCAGGCCATGCTTGAGACTTTTTGGCTGTTACTGGCTGCTTTTCTTCTGCCCTTTTTCCCTTTGTGCCCTGCTAATGCAGTCACCTCCCCTGAAGTGGCCGAGGTTGTTTTTGCTGCCAGGGGAACGAGGGCACACAGAGCCCTCTGTGCCCAGAGCGCTCGCCTTGGCCCAGGCACAAATGGGAGCTTTGCTTTCCTTTCCTCCTGCTCAGAGGGCACCACCAAGGAGGGGTTTGGCCATGGGAACTGGTAAGAGAAATGCACAATGTAAAGGAAGATTTACAATCTGAAGTTGAGATATTGGAAGGAAGGTGGGAGAAAGGAAGGAATAGGCAGGGACAGATTTGGGGGCTCAGAGCCCGTGAGCAGCACAGCCAGGGGAGCCTCAGAGGCTGTGACCCTGCTGGAACTGCCTGACTTGAATAAGGAGCTTTTTAGCCTTGTGAGGCAGGGTTGGTTGGGTGTCTTTGGGGTGTTTGGTGGAGCAAGGAGCCTGTCAAGGAATGGAGAAGCCTGGAAACTCCTCAGGGACCCTCCTCACCTTCGGTCCTTCCACAGCTCTGCCAGGCACGTTGGAAATTTGTCTTTCCCACAAGGTCAGCACAGCCATGAGCATCTGCTGGGAGTGTCTGGAGCATGGGGGCAAAGAGAAGGTGTGGGCTGAACATCAGCTCTGCTCCTGCAGCTGCTCTGGGACAGAGCTCAGGGGATGCAAACAGCCAGGAATGCAGGGGGAGTCTGTCTGCAGCAGGGGCTCAGCCTGCACTGCTGGTTTGGGTGGCTGGGATGGTTTTCTGACAAAGCTCTGAGGCTTGACAGGTGTGCCAGAGAGGAAAGGAGAAATTCAGTGTGTGCAGCTCATGATTGCAGCTTTCTTCTCCAGGAATGGCTTTGGGCTCAGTAAGAAGGACTCACTGTTTGCAGGCTCAGTGTTATTTCCCACAGCACACTGTTGCTTTTGAATGGCATGCCAGGATCTGGGAAGGAAGGAGGAGGAGAGAGGGTGAGTCCCTGCCTTCCTTTTCTCAATCAGTTTCTCTTTTTTAAAGGTACTTTTTGGAAAAGAAAGCCTTCTTTATATGTATTACTGCTATACATCTATATGTCTGTCTGTACAGAAAGCTGCATGGAATAATTGAGCTTTACACCTTCCAGAATTGCTGCCACTAAATTTCCTAAATTTCTCCTTTTATTTCTTAAAAAAACCAGGAAGATTTAAGAATTCAGAAACAACACAAACATTTCCCTACCTGAACCTTCCTGGTGATCAAAATTGGAGAGGATTTTCCAAACCTGAGTTCTGACACAAACACCCACTGGGGTCTTTGTACATCCCCGTGTTCCTTTCTAGAGCTCTCCTGTGCATGGAGAATTCCAAGCAGGGTGGGGTGAATTGGGCTGTGTGTAACAAACAGGCAGGGCTGAGGTGGCTCCTGAGCTTTGCAAAGGGATAAAGCAGCACAGAACTCCCGGCTCTGATTTCCTCGGCAGACAGGAGGCAGACAGGAGGAACGAGCTGCTGCCTCTGTCACCCATTTCCCTGTGGTACCAACCTTCAAACAATCCCAAAAATCGGAGCTGTGCTTCTCCTGGGCCCAGGGAAGGGAGGGAAAGGCAGAGCCACCGGTTCTGTTCCCTTGCGGCCACTGAGGGGAGCTGCTCGTTGGCAAACTGGGCTGTGAGACCCAGGGGCTCCATCCCCCACAACTGGTTCGTGCTCTTTGTGTTACACCCACTGTGTGCTGCACCAATCCTGATTTCAACTTTGCTTTTGTCCTCCAGGGTGAATAACTGCATTGGATTTTCTAACTACAAATTCTTTCTACTGTTCTTAGCCTATTCTTTGTTGTATTGCTTGTATATTGCTGCAACAGTCTTCAAGTATTTCATTAAGTATTGGACAGTAAGTCATGAAATCCGGTTACTTTTTCATCTGCTCTCAGTCTCGTGGGCTTTGGTGACTCTCGGTGCTCTGTTGCTCTCAGGCAGTGGAGGGGCTGCATTTTCCTGGGAGGTGTTTCCTGGGCCCTTTGGGAATCCACCTCCTGTTAGATGTTCATAATGCACAGAGCAAGAAGCCAGGAATTTCAAACTGTAGATTATTTTCTGTCAGAGAGGCTCTGTCCCTTTTCTGTCCTTGTGTTTGCATGGGTGTCCCTTGGAATGTTTGGCATTGATGTGTAAGATCCTGGCAATGATTTGTACATATTTACTGAAAAGAAAAAATGAGTCAAAACCCCTTGTTCATTTTCTAACCCCCACAGGCCTCCTTTCTCGATTTAAAAACAGCGACTCAAAGGAGGCTTTTATTCAGCTCCCGGAGGCTGTGCCGGANAGTTTTATGATTGCTTATGAACCCTTCTCTTCTCCCAGTTTTGTTCTGCAATGCCTTTGTTTGGTTTGTGGCCAAAACAGGCCTCACCCCCAAAAAGTCTCTAAATTCAGTCCCTGATTGCTGCTAAAGACCCTTTTAGACCCTTTGGCCTCAGCCAGTCCTTGTAACTCCTACTGCCATGTAGTGCCTTATCTCCAGAGATAACAACCCCTTTAAGCTGAGCCATCTCCTTGGTTCCACAGATCAGACTCGTGGTTGAAGAGGGACTGAACCAACTGCCCTACACAGAATGTACTGTGACCACTCCTACAGGTATGTGGGAAACCACCCCTGGCCTGGGGAGGGCTGGAGCTGCAACTGGTATCAAAATACAGAGAATTATTCCAAGAGTTACAAATATCCTGAGCTGGAAGGGACTCAGAGGATCATGGAGTCCAACTCCCTGCTCCTCAGAGAACAGCCTGAAACTGAACCCTGCAACATCCAGATGGTCTTTGAACTCTGACAGACTTGGTGTATATTAGATTATTGGTGCCACAGACACTTCCCTGGGGAGCTCTGAGCAGGGCAGAGTGTCTGTCCCTGCTGGTTTGGAAAGCCACAAGGCACATGGCAAACAACTGAGCAAAACAGTCAACACTGTCATTTCACTGAGGATTACAGTGGCCTTGCAAAACCATGGTGAAAATGTACCAGTGCATGTGCAGGATCAGTTCACCTGCCCAGAACACAACCTTGAACTGAAACTGGTGACATTTCACATGCCCATCAAGGAAAAAGGGCTTGGCACAAACAGCTCTGCCTTGCCAGCCTCAATCTGGCTCTGCAGCTGAGGCCAGCTGGGAGTGAGGATGAGCAGGAAATGCAAAGTGGCACTGGAGAAAACCATTGCAGGAGTGTGGTTCCTCCTGTAAGGTTACAGATCCTCAGGTGTGCAGTGCTCAGGCAGCAGCTGAGTGCATCAGCAGCTTGGGGGGAGTGCTCAGCTCCATGGTGTGACCCACAGCCCCCTGTGAGATGGGCACCAGCCCAGTCCTGTTCCCCCTGGGAACTCCACTGGCATTCCTGCAGGGTGACACTCCCACTCTGCAGGAAAGCATTGGTGTGCCTTTATTTACACTTAGAGAAATGATGAACTGCAAACCCTCAGCTGTGGAAGCAGAGTTCAGACACACACCCAGGAGCACCATCCCTTACCTGTGCTCATTTTTATATCAAACAGCAGTGGCTTCCCCTTTGAGATTGGTGTCACATCTGTTCCCATCAGTCAGTGACAGACCAGGACCATCTCCTCTCTGTCAGAGAGAGCAGAAGGGAGCAGCCACTGAGCCCTGGTTCCTTTCCTCACAGGACACAAGTATGAAGGAGTCCGATTCGAGAAGGGAAACTGCGGGGTCAGCATCATGAGAAGTGGTAGGTGCTGCTGAAGGACTCACTTTAAATGCTTTGGAAACCTGGAACAACTTCCTTTCAAAGATGTGCAACAAGAGGTTTACTCAAATTCTTTCTTAGGTATCCTTGATAAGAGAATGTCCAGGACTATCTCCCATTGCCCTTAGGGAGCCAATTGGCTGGCACAGCTCTCCTGTGGCCCTTCCCTGGCCCTGCTCCCTGTCAGGGGCACAGTGCCCTCCCCTGTTTCCCTCCAGTGCCCAGAGCCAGGGCCCCACCCCAGCCACACTCATGGGGCAGAGTCCCTGCCAGTGCCCAGTGCTGGGCAAGCCTTGGCATCTGTGCTGGCAAAGCAGCTCTGGCCCCACACCTGCCCCACCT